AGCGTACGAGTATTAGGAAGCCTCAAATTACTAACTGTCGTGCTACCGAAAAACGCCGTTTTTGCCTTCAGGCGTTGCCATGTTTCCTTTAATAAAAACGAATACACCGCAAAAATTGTGAATGTTGTTTTTCAAATTCGTCAGAAAATTTTGTCTAAAATGTACTCTAAAATATCTAAAATGCTCAGAGAAAAATATGTTTAACTTTCCTCCAAAATTCATGTTTTATCCGGGGATTTTTGCAACTCTCGAATGTCTATACGTCGTTTTTCCTTAGAATACTAAAGACATCACAAAAGACTAGGTTTGAGGACAAGAAACAGCGAGTGTAAGGCGCGGTGACCAAATGGAATCACGTTCCTGGGCATCATAAAGTAAATCCCCACTCGGTTTTTGCCGGGCGAATTTAAGACGCGCCCACTCCGGCCGAGGCTCGTCATGTGTAACGCTCAAGTAGATTAGCATCGTGAAATGCTCCGAAAATTGAGGCCAAATTCCCGTTCCTCCCTCTCAATTTCCGTCTACTTTTCCGGGGTCCCCGCACCGTTGCCGTTGGAAATACGCGGGTTGCTTCGACGCGGAAGTGGAAAAAGTGGGCTGAAAGGTGTAAAGGGGACTTACAAGTGGCTGTGCAGTCCGGAACTAATATTCTGGGCTCATTTTCATTATTCAGAAACTAATCATGCTCTGTAATGTAAAAGCGTAAGAATAACGTGTCACGCTGAGGGTGACCTGCACACACGGAGAAAAAAACTTCGTGCATGGGACCCGAAGTTGAGGTCGTATGGATCTCTAAAGTTTTCGGATCACGCATCCGAAAACTTGAGGTCCGGCTGCTGAAGTTCGGGTCAGACATCTGAAGTACTTAGGTACGTACCGAAGGGTTTGGGTCACGCATCTGAAGTACTCGGTACGTACCGAAGTATTTTAGGTGTCTGACCCGAACTTCGGTAGTTGGGTATCAAGTTTTTGGATGCGTGATCCGAAAACTTCAGAGATCCATTTGACCTCAACTTCGAGTCCAATGCACGAAGTTTTTTTTTCTCCGTGCACATAGACTTAAAGGAAAATTCTGTATACGTACGAGTGAAATTTTTGATAAATAATAACCGACAGTATCTTCGCAAAAACACAATTGTTGAAAGAAAATTTTACAGCGTTGAAATTCAGTTACTTTCTTTTGTGTAGGAGATAACGATTACTGAACGGAAAATTTTGAAAAAGACTCACGTGCGATAACGTTCCGTGTAGGAACGGTAACATATGGTAAATCACGTTGCAACTGCTCATTTACCACGAGTGAAAATATATACAAGCGAAACGGTAAGGGTATACTTTTTGGATTCGCGTGAGAATTTCTCGCCTACCTCATATGCAGGTCTCCAGAATGTGCATTCTATTCGCGATTCACAATTCGGAACAAGGAAGGGGAGTTACTGAATGCAATGCCGGTCGAAACAAAAGAAAATACTTTCCTATGCAGTACTGCCGTGCTAAGGAAGAACGCCGTATGAGAATTTGAGAGTTGCCAAATTACTTTAGATTAAAGGTTCATTTTGTACGAAAGTAATGAAAATTTTGCTTCGAAAGTTTCAAGAGGTTTAGGTGACATTGCGAATAAAATTATCTGAAAAATTGGAAGACAAATATTCATAAGTTTTCCAGGAAATTCGTGTTTTATTGAAAGAAAATTTAGCAACGCCTGAAGGTTTGTACGGCGTTTTTCTTAGCACGGCAGAGTAGGTCAACGAGAGGGGCTTCTATCTCCCTCATGAGAAATAGCTATGCACTGCTCAGTAATAACGATTACCTATTTTTTTTTAAAAAACGTTATTTTTCACTGATCTGAATTTACTAATAATACAGTAGTCAAGAGAGGGTAAAACATACAAGAAATAGGACTGTGCACTGCCTCGAAACTGATGCTAATTCCATTGTCAGTTATTTCAAGATGACGAGACCACAAAATGATAGAGGAGAAATGTTCTCTTTACTTTCAGACAAGACAAAGATGAAAAAATCACTAAACAATGTTCCGTGGTAATTTTTGCTTCAGCACAATCCTTTTTTGAAACTAAAGCGATAATTTGTTATTTTTAATTTCTTTCGGCCATGGTTATCCATTTGGATTGTTTTACAAATGACGTATAAATACCAGCTCCTTGATGGAGATGGAGATGGAGATAAGTTCTCTTATGATCTCCATTCTCTTTCTATCCATATTTCTGGTTCTCATGGAGAAAAACCTGGCTCATTATTATCAAAAGAATGAGTTTAGGTATTTAGTAGTTCAGCTCTGAAAAGAATGCACATGTAAGAACCTTATACAAATTTTAGTTGAATGAACCCGAGATATCTTTAAAGTGACTGGACATTTCTATGAATTATAAGGAATAGTGTTTGAAAAAAAGAGATCTACAGCTGTTTCGACGAGAAATTTCTATTGTAGTAAATTTTCTGGAATACCTGTTGATCCGATAGGAACTTTCACTCACTCTGCTTTTTCAAGGCCCAGGGAGAAAATACTCCTTGCTTCAAGAAAGTAGCGTGCAAACTCGCCAAGTTAAATTTTAAATGTATCAAACAGAGTCGCATTTTCATGATGAATTATTACTGTTCATTACCACAACTCAATTTATGAAGACAAGGAAACTGTCGTCTTCAAAAATAAAATTTTACACAGCGTAATCAACCACTTCCCAATTATGACAAGTACTTTCCTCAGCGCAACCTGAGACCATCGAAGAAATCCGTTTTTCCTCTGACAGTAAACCTGATTTTTCTCAGTGCTCCTCTATATTGAACATAGCACGTTTATTTTTACACGTTCGCCTCAAGAAATACCTTCTTACACTTGTTTAAATTTCAATCCTTGAGCTATTTCAAGTCTTTTAGTCGAATTTATTGCTGGAGACTCTAATCCCCGAAGGAAGAGGTGTGCACATTGTTGACCACACACTGTTTAATGAGACCCGCCCTGTCTCGCGCGCCAACATTTTTGCGGTTTACCGCGTCGGATCCTACCATTATTTCCGCAGCACTTACCGTCTTGTTTATTTTGAGTCCCGTCCCTGACTTATAATCTGTTCGTTCACTCTGAATTTGAAATCGATCACGGAGACTTAGATAGGAATTTGTACGCGTTTGAGGTTTGATCTGATACGGATTTCGGATGAAATATCATAAAGGCCGTATTTTCTTCGGAGGCCTTAAAGGTTTTCATTGTGACTATTCAAGGAGATCCATAACATGAATTATGAACAGATTTTTAACGAGTCTTGAATAAAAGAAAACAGTATAACTTTTGTAACCCAAGTATATAAGATATTAAAATGCTTTGCCTCTACAAAAAGTTAAAAATAAGAAAAGACGCATTTATTGGGTGTTGACAATTTTAAGGGACGTACAAATCTACCGTAAAGTTTGTCAAGTTCATACATTTTTTTTTGCACTCTTTTTTCTCTCTTTTATTTTAGTGGCAAATTTATGTCAGCCTTTTGGCAAAAGTCTATCTCCAAAGTAATAGTGTTGATTTTTACTTAAGATTCCTTAAAACCGCTTTATCTACAATACTGATTTCCTTAAACTGCTGCAGATCTCCTTAAACCTCCCTTCCTCACATTGTAAAACATATCGATCTTTCAAAAGAAAGGAGCTTTTTTATGGACAACTATGAACACAGCCTTAGGAAGTATCTAAATGGATCATACCCGATGGAAAGCAATACTCCTTTATTTCTTATTGAATGCAATCGGCTCAGATAGGCATCTAAACTAACTTCAAAGCAATGCGTATAGTATCGCACGAGACTGAAGGCGCTCCAGGCTGAGAGCGTATTTTTGAGGTCCTCACTCGATGAAACCTCCGTCATACTTTTGAAAATGACTGCAATTTAAGAAGACTTCACGCAAGATACTGATTGCCCATGAGCCTTATATTTGGCCGTGTAGCAGAACGGAACCAAGCCACATTGGCTATTGCCAAATTTAACTGGGCAATTTAATTTTTTACAGAAGAGCGTTTGTGCGGATTCCTTTGAAACTTTTGAGGAGTTTGCTTCGTACTGAGTAGAAAATTCATTGAAATTTGCACAAATCCCCACAACTATTTTTATGTAAAAAATCAAATTGTCCAATTAAATTCGGCAATATCTGATGTGGCTTGATTCCTCTCTGCTAAACATGATCCAAATATAAGTCTCGTGGGCAATCAGCATCTTGCGTGAAGTCTCCTTAAATCGTAGTTATTTTCATAGCTATGATGATGGTTTCATTGAGTTAGGAGCTCAAAAGCACGATCTCAGCTTGGAGTGCCGTCAGTCTTATGTGATACTATACGCATTGCCGTAAAGTTAGTTTAGACGCCTATCTGAACCGATTGCATTCAAGAAGAAGTAAACGATTATTCTGCAGTGCTAAGGAAAAACGCCGTACGAACATTCGAGAGTTGCCAAATTTCCTTCAATAAAATGTGTATTTTGAAGGAGATTGATGAATATTTTTCCTTGAAATCTTCAGAAACTTTAGGTGAAATCGCGAACAAAATTATCTTAAAACCTGGAAGAAAAATATTCATAAGTTTCCTCGAAAATGTGTATTTAATCAAAGGAAATTTGGCAACGCCTGAAGGTTTATACGGCGTTTTTCCTCAGCACGGCAGTATTGCTCTCCATATACTTTTCATATTATACTCCATATAACTTTTTCTGTAAACTACCACCAAACATAAGGAAAAAAATTAAAGATGAGCCCCGAAGCCACAATGCCCTGGTCAGACATTATCTAATTGAGGAATGTCCCTATTCAATCAACGATTTTTTAAAGGGGACAGGTCTTTTTTTATATATATATATATACATATATTTATTCTTGTTTCTTGTTTAGAAAAATTCGACGCATTTGTAGAAGCCATGTGCAAACCAAAAAACAAATAAAGATATATATTATATCTCTTCATGACCGTATCGGTCCATGTCGTTTGTGTGGAGAGAGGCGACTTACCTAGAATGACCATTTTCTTGGCCTGGCGGTCCTCGTTGTAGAAGGTGGAGACCTGACACTGGTACTCGCCGGAGAGCTCGGTGGTGACGTTGACGATCTCGAGGGCGCGGTACATCTTGGTGGCGTCGCTGGAGGCGCGGTAGTCCAGGTTGAGGCGCCCCTTGAGGACGCCCAGGTCCTGCGGCCGCTTGTTCTGGATCCACTGGTAGACCGGCGAGGGGTGCCGGTTGAAGAACCACTTCACCACCAGCCCGGCCGCCTTCCCGGAGGGGTCGTCCAGGCTGTAGTCGCAGTCCAGCACCACCGACGATCGGGAGCCCAGCTCCACCACCTCCGGCACCAGCAGGGATTTTATCTTCACGCTCGTGTCGCCTGAAACCAAAAGAGGAAAATATGTTTTCAACTAAAACATCAATAGAAATATACTCTATGTATAGTCTCTAGAAATCAAACTGAGTTTGATAGCTCTTTTGAGGGTTCCTTTTCATGCAAATTAGGTTAGGTTGCCGCTACGTGGCCCAATCCCGGAGGAAGCTTCGCGCCCAAAATAGAGCGGGCTCATCCTAGGGGCTATCTCCTACAGATAACCGCAAAAACCGTGAAAATCAGACCAATTGAACAGAGGAACGAACTGTGACAAAAAATGAAAAGAAGGGGTATCGCTGAGGGCTGTTTTTGGGCCCACTCTAGCTGAATTATCTCAACTGTAAGATGTTTTCAATTGCTCACTGCAAGTATATATTTTGGAGAATGAATCATAATTCGGTGCTCTTAATTCTCTTTTCGGGTCTATCACTGGCCTAATCATGGGTCCATACGCCGGTTTTGGCACAAAATGAGGATTTTTCGGCATTCGACCGCAAATCCACGGAACTCTTTTTCGCCAAAAACAGCCTACGAATCAGTGTTGAAGTCAGTAAAAGATTAAAAAATAGACCGGGAACGACCTATGTACAATGCATTCCTTACAATGTAGATCTTCATTGAGCAAAAATGGTGGAGTTGATAATTCAGGGTGGGCCCAAAAACGACCCTTATCGATGATACCCCTCCTTCAGGGGGCCAGACTTCCAAAATCTTCAAAGATCTTTCAAGATCAATTGAGAGACTTGAAGGACAAAGCGCATGAATGTAGTTTTTGCTATTTCGAGGAATACGTGTTTGAAGTTTCGAAATTACATGGACCTTTATGGTGAAAAGAAAGTTCAAACAGACTTTCTAATGCTTAAAAACTGAAATTTGGGAGCGAACTTTTAACGGAGTTTGCATCAAGACTAGTTTCGCTCGAAGTCATTAATATCTCAATTGTTTCCAAAAACTACACTTATTCGCCTTGCCCTCCAATCCCCTCATTATTCTAACACGACCATCGTTGTCTTAAAAAAAAGCGGGAGGGCAGGAAAGCCAAACTTGACCTTCGATTCCCGCGGAGGAAAACCATCATTCGTAAAAGTGACAGCTCGCCGTTTGCACTAACTGTGCCGGGCTCCTCAGCCCGATCAATTACATCTAATTGAATGCAATTGCTCGTCCGTCAGCCTCCCCTCCCCCCCTCCCCGCCTTCCGCCTTCCGCGGACGGAGGCCCCGCTTGTAGGTTTGGTGCGGTAAACACTGTTTGAACTACTGAACTTTACCCGCTTCGAAATCGTCTCAGGTGACTCGCGACTCCTAAGTTGCCGAGAGTTTGTCCGTCCGAGGATGATACCAAGATATAGGGTGATTTAGTTGTAAAGGAATAAATGTTTCAAGTGTCGATTCTTTAAGGCCTCTGTCATAACAAGGCCTCTTGAATGTCAAACATTTTTTGTCCAAAATCGTTCATCTCAGAGAATAAACTCGTCTGAGGGGCTTAGAGGACAAGACGCATACGTGCAGTTTCTGAAAAAATTAATATATTAAAGCTTTCGAATAAAACTAGTCTTAATGCATACTCTGTGAACAATTCGATTCCAAATTCCAATATTTATAAGCATCAGAACGTATCAGTTTGAACTGTCTTTCCGCCATTAGGAATCATGTAATTTCAAAATTCAGAACACAAATTGCTCGAAATTGCAAAAACTGCACTCATGCGCCTTTTCCTCGAAGTCTCTCATCTGAAGTTTGAAAAAATAAATATTTGTTTAACCTTGTGGCGGCGTTCATAAGTCAAATTACATAAAATTAAGTTAAGTTCAAAAAGTTAGGCCCCTGTTTGGGCCTCAAAAAGGTAGCAGAGTCATTTTTGGGAGGGTTTGAAATATTAAATATCGAACCTTCAGGTAGCCTAGGTCATTAACTACGAAGTAATACACTGCCCTTCAAATAACCTAATAATGAATTTCCTATTTGAGATCAAAATAAAATCAGTTGATCAACGACGACGCTTATAAATCGAATTTTTGATGGTCAATGAAATGCAAATTCTACAGCCTATACAGTTTTGAAATGCAAAAAAGAAATCTACAGCCATTTTTTGAGATGCACCATCAGGTTTTTTGAGGATTGAGTCACCTCAATCTTGAATCACCCTGTACACAACAAAAAACTCTGGGGATTCTGCTAAATCTGGGCGCTTGGCTGACGGAAGAGTTCAGTCCGGTCACGTCAAGTAAAAACAAAAGAGAGTGAAAACTGAAACAAAGAAATCCGGTTTCCTGTCGGTTATAGTTTCCGTGTTCGTTTGCCACGTGAAATGGGCTCACGGCGCTGGATGCTGGATGAAAGCTTTCGGCGAGATTTATTCTCCCCCCACAACCCCCACTCGCCCTCTTTATACAAAACTTACGATCTACTTGCGGGTCTAAGCACTGAGGAGGGGGCAGTGCCCAGCAAAAAACTTAACAACTTAACTTTGAGCATCTCATTCAAAAAGATTTATTTTTGAAAGATGTTTATGGATCAACTTTGAAAATAATGAAATTCTAATGGGGCATTTCCTTTCTCAAAAATAATGATGAATTTTGACAGTATAGATCTGCTAGACGAGTCCTTAATTAGCCCATAAAGTTCCACAAAACACGAGAAAATGGATAACCAAAGGATAAACGCTCTGCTTTTCGTTATCATAAATAGAGGTCTAAGGGTCTTGATATTTATAATTTTAAATATTTTGTGTTTCCTGGTCGAGGAGGGGATTGAAACCACCCTGAAAGGTCTTCGGTTGTTTGTTTGTTTATCAGCCTTGGTTACTCATTTTCTTGTGCTTTTAGTTGAATCATTAGGGCTATTTTTGTATATAGTTAGCAGCTCTACAAATTAAACTCACAAACGTCTGCAAAGCGGTCCTCAGTGGGTAGGCCATAGGAAACCGTGGTTTCCCACACTAGGGAACGTAATTTCATTCCAAATTTGCAAAATTAACTCATACAATTCAATGTTTCACAAAAATTTACCTAAACAAATTCTCCCCGAAATTTCTCTGATTCTTGCAAGAGATCAAAGGAAAATCGGTGAAATTTTCAGTTAGAAATGCCCAAGATTCTTCTGGTGATAATAAAATAAGCGGGAAGAAAGTCACCAACATTGACATGTAGTTATATTCTTTCGTGAGGGAACGACGAAATAGCCCCCCCCCCCAGTGGCTCGATTGTTGAATCGTTATCGAATGATCCTGATCGATAAATCTCTATCTTAGCAATGCTTCTTATCGATCAAGGTCATTCGATATCCATTCAACGATCGAGCAGCAGTATTATAATCTCAAGAATTTCAAGATCATTGATGTGCTGATACATCGGACAGTTTTGTTCCGTCCAATATAGCCCGACTTATTCAACAGACGATCTCCTCTACTTGGACGGACGCGCCTGACACCGGATGGCCGGGGGGTGGATTGGGGGTTGGTGGGGTAGGTGAGGTATTGGCATAGGATGCTGCTCAGTGTTCAGTGACATCGAAACGCAGTCCGAATGATTAAGGCGCAACGTTTCGCGCCGCGCGAAAGCGTGACAGATGCAACGCTCATCTGCAGTACTGTCCACTGCACTCGGATATTTATGACCTCCTTGACCGGAAGATGGCATCCCATCCATCTTGACGAGTCTGTCATATCGCGTTGAACCGCTCCGCGAAAATTAATCGGCATCCGTCATTTTGCTTTTATTCGACGGCGGGTAGTTACCGGTCGGTGTCAGCCATTTAGTAGGTTAGTATACTGACATTGGTCTACATTTTGTAATTAGGAACTACGATTTCTGGCTCATCTGTAAAAATATCCTTATGCGCAGGGAAACGAATAGTGCATACGTCGTTTCTAAACTAGGCCAGATATTGCAGTTCCTAATTGTGAAATGCAGTTAAATTGAGATTCTCTTGGTTGACTCTTCAGGGCCGTGTTCCTAGACCTCATAAGGTTAACCATTTGGTAGAGAGCCGTTTTGGGTGATTCTTGACATAGCATCATAAAAATGACAATTTCCATAAATCTGAAGTAAAGAGGATAATAAAGGTATTTGCAAAAAAAAAAAAAAAAAAATTTAAAGGCAGATAGCACTAAATGATTTTGATAAACTGTAAGGAAGGCAGGAACCTTATGAAAAAAACTTAACTCTGAAGTTAACTATAAAGTAAAACATGTGAAGAGGAAACATATTTCAGAATGCTTAAATTTGCACTGCTTACATTTTTTTGTCTAGTGTTCCATTCTTTAAAAGACTAAATCGAGATAGGTCTTGATTATTCAATTTCACCCAGTTCATCAATTCTAAAATCCATTGAGAGTAATATCCACAGTGGCTTTCTCTAGGTGTGCACTCAGAGCTCTTCCACCAAAACTTCAATAAACTACTTGCAATTCCGCGTAAAATGCTGTTGCACTAAGGGAAAACGCCATATGAACATTCGAGAGTTGCCAAATCTCCTCCAATAAAATGTTTATTTTGGAGGAGAGTTACATTTTTTCTCTCAAAACTTTTAGGTAATTTAGATCTGATCGCAAATAAAATCCTCTTAAAATTTGAAGAAAAATATTCATAGATTCAACTGAATATTCATACTTTATCAAAAATTTGATTCATACTTTATTAAAAAAATTTGGCAACGTTTGAAGGTTCATACGACGTTTTTCCTTCGTACGGTAGAATATGCGTGTAATGAGGCAAGGACGATCAACGGTAGGAGGTAAAACGCCGGGAAGAAACTCGCGAGGTGCAGAGGTGGAAAACCAAACCAACAGGTGAAAATTCCCGACCAAACCGCAAGAGTAGTTTCAGTCAGCGACGTTGTCAAATATTCTACGAGATAAATACCGATTCCTCGTAGTGTGGTGCGTGAAATCAACCACGCCGATTCAGTCGTTCAACGGTGGTATCTCCGAGGAGAAGTTTCCACGATTAATGTCGCTACGTTCAACTTCATTCAAGCGCCGGCCCATAAGTCATTTTGAGGCGCG